CACAATGTTTCAGAAACTACTTGTTTCTGTCAATCAGTTGGGGGGGGGGTGTTTCCCCCACTCAATCCCATGTTTATGATGACTCACCGTTGTCACAAACATGTAGTTTTAGCATAAAGGAAAGAAGTTGGGGTCTTGAAAGTATAACAAGGTTCTACTATGTTTGATATGTTTCTTCAACACAGTAGTTCTCATTTTGCACAGTTTTTCTTCTTAACTTTCTTTAGTAATTGAGGGGTGGTCGTACATATTCACGCAGGTTTCATCTTGTTAACATTTGTGGACAGTATGGCTGTTCCGTTGCTTCATAATGAGGAATATAACAAGGTTTTGGTATTGCATGTATATGAATGTGTTCTGAATTAAAAGTTTTTTAGCGTTAACTAAGCATGTGTTTAGGGTTCCAGAGGATTGATGTAGTTCTGTTTTGTAGTAACATTTTTGTCTTTGTTAAGTTACAACTTTTTCTGTTGTCCTGAAATAAATAAATTTGGCTTCCACATAATATATTTAATAAAATTCTTTACTCCCAGAGTGGAATATGAAATTATTCTTAATCGAGTGGCTAAATACGTCTTACAATTCTCTTGCCAGGTAAATGTAGTAGATATCATTTGGGATTTCCTCATTTATACTGTGACATGTAGTCCCGGTTTTCAGGACATATTTGTGGCTTAGAAATCCTGGAAAAAAATGGATAGTTCTGCCGTATACAGATTGTTATAAAATTCTGGTAACATTCCTGACCAAAGGCAAGATGCCCAGATTTTTTTAACCAAGAAAGGAGGGTTACAAATATGAGATTTAATCAGACATGAAGTATTAATCAATGTCATTGCTATCACATATCAGTAAGTGGTTCCATAACCCCCTAAATTTATAGGTCTCTTTTGTCTCAAATGTGCATTGCATTGTTAATTGCACAAATACTAAGTTGGTTTTGCTCTTAATGTGGAGTCCTTGATGTCAGAGAATGTCAGAGTCATTGAAGTGGGAGACTATGTGTATTCCATTGGATTTCAGATTTCTGTTTTTATGCCGAAGTTTTCTAAATCATTTTTAGTGGAGCCTCTGGAATTCTAAAATTATTGTACTCCATTAGTAAGTAGTCATGGTAAGTACTCCATGATAAGATTAAATCATCATTTCTATAGGCAAATTACATCTATGAAAGTGTGAAGTCATTAAAGAATATGTGCCTTTTCAGATTCCAAAAAAAAAATGTAACTTAGGGAAATTGGTCTTTTAGACATGTTGGCCAAACTAAGGAGGTGCCATGCCATTTAGATGTTTGTTATTTGGTTATTTCATGTCCTTAGTGTTCAGTTTAATGATCTCTGTCTTAATTCAGTTCATTTAATTAGTACCATTGTTTTACTGTAATTTTTTTTACCTGAAATGAACATTGCTAAAACAGCTACATAAGATGGTAAGCTGACAATTTTTTTATATCTTGTAAGTTTATTTCAGTCTGCATCTTGTATGTTTAACACTAGTTTAGTTTTGTTTGTTCCACGGTGGCCTTGGAAATGCTTATGAAACCGAGGGGAATTTATTGCAGAAATGTCCTCTCTATTAAACTGGCTTGGGAAGGGCCCAGTGGTTGCCTTTTATGGTAATAATGATAAATCTTTGACTTCTGTAGTAATACATTTCTTGAACACCTATCAGCCACCAGTATCAAGGATAAGTTTGCTTATTGGTGTGATGGAGTGAGACAGTATATCACAATGAAACTGCAGCCACTAACAAGCCCATTATTTGTGAAAATAAAACAGTGTTGGAATTATATTGGTGCCAGCATTTAAGAACTCTGAGAAATGCTGTTCCAGTAGCACTGTCTACCACAAATCCCACTGGAACTGTCCTGGGTGTGAACATAGATTACTGCATTGAGGTCAGGGGGAGTAAGTCAGTTGTAATGTGAAAACTAGTCTCTGTTGCTGGAGTTCTCTTTGTTTTGCAGTTGTGAGATAGTGTTTATATATTTTTATTGTCCATTTTCTTCACATCTTTCTTGTTCATATTAGTTTATTGCTGTTCTCTTAAGTTTATTTCCTGTTCTGCCAAAATTTGAAGTCATTAAAAGGAGTCTCATAAATTACCATCTTTCTTTGTTTAATTTTCATATTTTTTAATTTAAATTTATTTGTTGTGTTGTGCAACTTAAATTTTATTTGTTGAAGTTACTTGTTATTGATCTATTCACTTGTATGTTGTACTCACATTATATTTATTTTTATCATAATTTTCTTTAGTACCTGTACATTCAGTGAAGATATATTTTGTGTTTGTAATACATATTAATTGCATAATTATGAGAGGTATGCACTAACATCTCTGATGTCCATAGGGTTTATTTAGATGTAGTAGATGAAATTAAATATGACTAAAATTTATGCTTATTTGTGCAAAATATAGTATTTTAATTCATTGCATCTCTCTGTAATAAATTAGAGAAGTTAGAATGTTCTGTGCTGCATGAGGTATTTTTTATATTTTGTTAAAAGAGTCATGAATGCATTATGTGTTATGAGTACTGTAGCTAAGAAGATTGAAAGTGGCAGGCAGCAGCAACACAACTGCAGGTTTGGTTTGAATGATTAGCTGCATGCATCAGGTAGTGAATGTTCCCCTCGCATGGAGCCTTGATGCTTGTGGCGGGCGTCAAGGCGTGAGTATTACATCAGGTACTGGTGAGCTTACTAAACCACCCAGTGCTTGTGTCATACTTCCGCCTTGCCGTTCATGCTCGACTGTTCACCCGCCAGCTGGAAGTAATGACTCAGAGCCATTCAGTGGTGTTATAGACATAAGTTACGTATGTTGGAGGACTGAGGGAGTGCCACTTCTGCGGATTGACTCATTTGTGGTGTGTATAAAACAGCTGTGATAACCATGGTATTGCATGTATTTTGTGGTTTATTCTTCTGTTGACAGTTATACTTGACATATCCTCAGTAATAATACCACTTATTGTTTTTTTGTCTTGTTTATCCAGATGACAGTTCTATTGGTTCTACTGATTTCTCTTAGTACCAGATTGTATTGATCGAAGTTGGATGGTTTCACAATATATCTTTCTCATTACATTTTCCTTCTTTGCAGAAAAGGGAGATTGTATTTTCTGTGTTTTTCCTTGGTCCCACCAGGCAGATACTATGATCGTACTTTAAATTAGGCCATGAATGTGTCCGTCCATAACATTTTCAAATCATTATTCAGTTAACGTCCTATCATCTGATGCTATACAGTCTTAGGTAGTAACATTATCTTTAAATAAACCATAGACAAATCAAAAACATTATCTGAAACGTTTCCAAAATTTACATATGTGATGGTTTGACAAAGGTGAAGGCTTCATCCGTTAAGGGAATAAATCTACACATCCCAAAATAATTATTTATAAAATCTGTAACCATTATTATTTTTCTTTATTTATTAAATAATTTGCATGTGTTGTATAGTATTGAATAGTAGGATGGTTCTGAATGATGCATTGGATGTGCTGTGGAAGGAAGTGGTAATAATGCCCCAGAATTTGTCTGCAGGGATGAGGCAAAGCACAGAACCTCAGGCAGGATAGTTGATCTCTGGTCTGAAATTCAAACTGACATTTAGTTCACACATGGTACTATCTGGTCTTCACTTCCTGCACATAGTTACCATATCTTTAAGGTATTTATTTAGCAGCTGAAACAAATATAATTAATCCAGACTAACCTAGTCTTGTTTTTCATTATGCAGTAAGTTTATGGCCTCTTTTGGTTTCCATCTCTTTCTTGCCATTCCTATGTTTATTTTCCCTGTATGGTTCATACTTTAGGAAATATATAATTTTTGATGTTCTGTACATGGAATTTATTTTCTCTGTTATCTGTAATATTTTCCTTTGTAAATAATTGACAGTAATTCTGTCTCTCAGTTTATACTTCTCCATATCCCAGTGACCAAATTAATCCCATTTGCTGGTTTCAGTTTGAACAAAGCTTGCATGACGAAATTGCTGTTTTATGCACCCGTGCGACAGCTTATGGAAACAAATGTATAAATGGTTTGTTAATGTATTAGGTATGACATTTGTTGACATGGAGCATGCGAATCCCTGACCCTGTAGATTTATCCACTACATTAAATTGTAAGATATTTTAAAAGAGTTTGACTGGTTTGAGTATGTTACACCCTATTCCTTCTGGCATAATATATAGCAAATAAATTGTAGACTTGGGTCTTGGACTCTGATGAAGTTTAATCAGCACTATGCTGAGGAGACTGAACATTGCAGTTTAAGTGGCTATTACTCCTGCTGCATATTCAGGCTGCCCTGGATTTTGTTTTCAGCTTGAAAACTGTCATTGTAAAATTTTGTGGTTTTTCTTAGTCTTTCCAGGTGAATGCTTTAATTATGACAACCACTTTTCCAGCCTTCCTGAATTCTCCTTTTATTAACGCTATAATCTGGATGGTTGAGAGGGCATCATTAATTTAATTAAGAAACAATAGATGTACTAGAAATTTCATCACAGTGCACATAGAATCTTATGTCTGTATTAATGCATACATTGAGATCTCCTGTATTAAAAGTCTCTAAATCCCTTATTGCAAGACTGTATTCTGCGATGATTCTGTTATTCAGAATGGGTAACCATTTTTCTAGATGCATGATGAATTTGAAAAGGAAACATATTCTGCATTGGGATTGGCTGCATTATGGTAGAAAAATTGTCAGTCTTCCTCTTATTTGACATTTTATAATATAAACTACTGACAATGCTATTAAATAACTCTTAAATAAACAAGAAACATTAGCTTTTTATTAGGTACTAATGAAAATACTAATTCTTTGTGTTGTTTTCCTTAACATGAATTATAGACATACATAATAGAAATTCTGACTTATTACGACAGTCTTACAAGTATGTTTTTGTGTTCCCCAATATTATTTTATTTACTACCGTGGTGCTATATAATGATTGCTTGATGCACTAAACACTTTCCAGGAAACAAAACAGTGGTGGACATGGATTGCTTATGGATATGCATAAATGGTTACCATGCACAAGAAAACAAGAAAATTAAAAAGAAGTTATGGACATAGATTAGTTTTGTAGTATGAAAGGGGATGTGTTTGCACAGCAGTGAGATGAAAACACAGGAATGGAGACCACTGAATGAAAGCATTTTACACACACTTCATTAATTAATTGAAACAATATGTTGTTATTGGCTATAATCTGCAAATGGAAATCATCTAACCTACAAAATACTGTATATTCTTACCTGACTATTATTTTTTGAACAAGATGTTACAGTTATGTAAGGGGACAGACAGATGTACATATGTTCTGTAAGGTCAGAATAAAAATTCTTTTGTATATCTTGGTTACTCCACATACATCAATACCATTATTATTTAACATAAACTTTTGCACCACATCCACACACCACATAATTGTATTTGGTGTTGAAGGTTTCTGATGTGTTTGTAGTGTTGTGGTTCAATAGAAGCATCTGTACATTCAAGTATAGAGCAATTTGTTTCTGTAGTAAATGCTGAATACTTTTTACATTTCAAATGGGTTCTTGTTTAACACAAGTTCAAATAAATATGTGCAGTACATTTCTTTCATTAATTTTTCAATTAGTTCATTAAATTACTTTACCAGTGTTATACTTAATTCTTTTCCATTAGTGACAACAATGTTCAGTCTAGGGTAAATTCTAGGAAGAACAGTATTAAAAAATAAAACAAAGTACCTTCAAGCAAATTGTTAAGTTTTTTAATTTTTTATTTTCCCTTTCTGTTCCTGTGTTAAACAGTTTTCATTCATCAGAGCTGGTGTGTATTATAAAGTTATATTTTTAGCAAGTTTGTTACATTGTTAATTTGTATATATTTTCTAGAGTTTAGATATCAGGCTGTTTTAATCGCTACATTCCTAATAAGAATTGTTATATTTACTAAGTGTAATTATATTTGGAATTATTGATTTGTGGAAATGAGAAATAATATTTTAAAATAAGTAAACAAAAATGTTTCAAGTATATTGATGGAGTTCACTGAAATTTTGTCTGTCACAAACATCTAACCTTACTTACAATGAAATTTAATTAAAGCAGTGACTGCTACTGTGATACTTGAAACTATCAGTCTCATTAACCTGATCCAGTATTGTAGAGTTTGTGAATGTCACAAAACCCCATCCTTCATATATGTGTAAATGGAAACAGCCTCAGCTCAGAAATGAAACTTCTTATGTATATATGGATTGGCAGATATATATACAAAGCTATATCTGTGTCATACATATGTAGTGGCTCTTCAGTGTTTGAAGTTTTACAGAACAGTAATTTATTATATCAAATTTTGTTACAGTTGCCCAACTAAGCAGCCAGCTGCAAGAAACTGAGACCAGAGTTCAATCTGCAAGTCTCAGTGCAGAGGGAAAAGTTGACAGGTGAGGTCAGCACTGTGTCCTCACATTTATATGTTGTTTGTATAATTTTGACCAAGCAGGTGTTCAGTGGCAGTGCTAAAGATGCCATGTAGGTCACTTGGGGGTTGAGGAGGTATAATTCCTACTCATTCTTGACCTCTGCACTAGATGGGGGTGAGTGGTCAGCATCATGCCCTGGTTGCACTTTACCCTCAGGAAAGAACCCTGGTACCCATTGGATAGGAGGCTGGGTGGGCGCAAGAGTGTGCTCAAGATGTGTCAGGTTAAAATCTTGACTGGGTTATCAGGTATCCTAACTTAGGTTTTCTTCCTTGTCCTTATATTTCCAGGTGAATGCTTAAATAATGAATATGCCATACCTGCTTATCATTCACTCATACATGACCTCTAAAATAGCATCCTTAAATAATATAAAATTCTCTCAGGCAATCAATTATGACAATGTTGAGTTTTAAGTCTTAAATAGCATCATTGAATACCTAAAAACTGGTCAGTAAATGTGACTCATTTTGGAAACAATTGTGGAGTTCTGCATGTAATAATTAAACATTAATTATATTTTACAAGTGTTTGGTTCATAGAAGGCCCAGAACACTGAAGGGGGCATTCTGTGTGGATGTTGTATAATAATTCTCCATTATTATTTACTTTATCTCCCTTTGAGAACATGAAGACATTCCAGTCACAATGTATTTCTTGTATTTAAGTTTATTGCTGGGTTGGAAGACATTTTTCATTTTATCTGCAATTTCTTGACTCTGTGTGATGATATAGTGTTAAGTATCAGTAATTACATGAGTGGTAAGAATGAATAATGAAAAATTAAGATGAAACATTGCCACAGCACTTATACAAAGTTTCTTTTATATTATTTTTGAAAGTAGCAAGCTACGAGGCTCGTCCACAAAGTAAGTTTCCTTGGGGCCGTTTACAGAAACAAAACAATTTCATGGAAATATTTATTGCAACAGATACAGCAAGTGTCCAGCTATTTTTCGACATATTCGCCACCGGAATTGAGACATTTGTCATACCGTGGGACCAACTTTTGAATACCTGTGTCGTAGAAGTCTGCCGCCTGGGATTTGAACCACTGTGTGACAACCATCTCCGCCTCTCTGTCATTCTCA